TGATTTCAAATACCCAAGGCCTCTGTAGGCACCTAGACTCCAATCCAAGGACAAGCACAGACATATACACACATATGATTAAAATAAATACACACACACACACACACAGACACAGAGCTAGAGAGGTAACTCAGCAGTTAAGAGCACTTGTTGTGGCCAGGAGTAGTGGCACATGCCTTTAATCCCAGCACTTGGGAGTCAGAGGCAGGAGGATCTCTGTAAATTCAAGGCTCTTGTTCTACAAGGAAGCTCCAGGACAGCCAGGACTAGGGACTCTATCTCAGAAACCTCAAACCAAGAAATCCAAAAAACAATCAACAAACAACAACAACAAAAAAAAAAAACCACATTGCTTGGGGCTGGAGAGATGGCTCAGCAGTTAAGAGCACTGACTGCTCTTCCAGAGGTCCTGAGTTCAATTTCCAGCAACCACATGGTGGCTCACAACCATCTGTAATGGGATCTGATGCCTTCTTTTGGTGTGTTTGAAGAGAGCAACAGTGTACTCACATACAAAGAATAAACAAATACATATATATATATTTTAAAAAAAAAAAAAAAAACAACCCACGTTGCTCTTCCAGAACTTGGATTCAAGTCCTAGTTCCCACATAACCATTCAGAGTCTACCAAAGATCCCAATATGACCTGTAATAATAGTGACTAGTAGTAATCATGTTTTTTGTTATGGTAACAGGCTGGTTACCTTAACCATTCATAACCCCAGTTCCAGGGACTGACACTCCTTCTAATCTCCTTAGGCACTGGGCACACGTGTGCTATACAAGTCTTCCCTTGCAAAGAGCAATCAGGTAACATGCAGAATACCTATGAAAGAAAGCTTCAGAAAGACCGAACTGTATCTTAATAGTAGGTTAGGTTTACTCTGTTATTTAGTTTTTCTTGTTTTCTTTACAAAAGTATTGGGCATTAAAGTAAAGGTCCAAGAGTAGAAAATGCTAATGCTGTACGGTTTATACATGCAGGCAAAACACCTGTAAAATAAAAACACTTTTATGTGTTACAAATAAATAAAAATTTTAAGATTAAATAATTCCAGAACACTTGATTTTTTAAAGCCTAAAACTAAAACATGTATGTGAATCCTGAACTTATCTCTCAAAGTAAGAGAATTCAAATAAGAAACCAAGAACATGGTTTTCAAGATTACAGTTACTCTGTATATATAGGCCAGTTTGCTTCAATTAACAGAAAGTTACAAAAAGCCAAAGGCTAAATGCTGTAACCCAACTCTTAGATCAAGATTTAACCAGATCAGATATGTCATACAACAGTCCCCTTAAACCAACTGGACAGTTCCAGAACTCCTAGTGCACATCAAACTAAGGTAGCACCAGACTTTGTATATACTGTTCTCTCCTATACACACATGTCTAAAAGCAAGTTGTTGTTCTTTTTGTTTTGTTTTGTTTTGTTTTGTTTTTTGAGACAGGGTTTCTCTTTATAGCCCAGGCTGTCCTGGAACTCACTCTGTAGACCAGGCTGGCCTTGAACTCAGAAATCCACCTGCCTCTGCCTCTCAAGTGCTAGGATTATTAAAGATGTGTGCCACCATTGCCCGGCACAAGTTTAACTTATAACTGAAGCACAGTAAGATTGTCTACAATAATGAAGCAACTTAACATTATACGACTGAAAGCTATGTAGATGTTACCTCTCCTTTTATTTTTTCTCTTCAAATAAGTATCTTACCTTTAAAGGAAGCAATTTCTAGTTTTTCTTTGGACGATAGAATTGCTAGCTATATAAATATGTAGAGATACTTACAATGGCTAGTAACCAACTAGTAGACACAGACAATGAGTGTGCTGGACCAAAGGCTGACTAGGGTCTAGGCCAGAACAAAGGGAAAAAACAAAATTTTATAACTACTCAAAACAACACAAAGCTACTGTTATGAATCGAAATGTAAATATTTTGGAGATAAAGGTTTGTCAAAGGGGTTGAAACTCAAAGGTTGAGAACCACTGGTCTAGATTTCTAGAATTTTCCATTTAATATTTTCAGACCACAGGTGAATGGTGGTTAACTGAAACCACAGAAGGTTAAACTATGGGTGGGAGCTGTACAGAAGGGAAGCTACTACATTCAGAACTCAGTCAGCACTAGAATTTTAGAGAACATCAAGTCTATCAACTTAACAGATGTCAGTTACTAGATTAACCACACCTCTGTTAAGCTGATAACTCCTGTTCAATGTATGGTCTAGTCACATACAAGCTCCCATATTTAGTACTTATAGTTAGTGTAGGCCACCAAGTATACTACCAAATAACCTGTTTTACTGGCCTGAAGTCACAGGTTTATAATCCCAGCTACTTGGGACTCCTGAACAGGAGAATTTTAATTTAAGGCCAGTCAACCAGGGCAAGTTCAATGAGACTTTACCAAAAATTTTATTTAAAAACACAAAAAGGGCTGGGGATATAGCTCTGAACAGTGTTTGCCTACCATCTGTGAACCCCTGAATTCAAATTCAAGTATCACAAAACACAGAATCCATTTTCTGTAAGACCATCATTATGAAGACCACTTTGAAATCCTGTCTTTCAAGCACAATGCATAGGAAAAGAAAGGAACCTAGGAAGAGCTAGCTGAGTGCTCCCCCCTTCACATGTGCTCACTGGCCCTCAAGCCTCTTGGAAATATTGTTCTTTGTAAATTGAAATGAAACAGGAAAGGGAAAAAAAGAACAGTTAAGCAACTTACAGTTTAAGAACTTTGAAGACAACCATAATCAATTGAAGTTTAATATTACTGTCTATAACACAGAAGAAGTTCTTATTTCTTGGTTTGTGTAAGTATACAACTAGGAACTTATTGCAAAACCTATCTCCTCATCTAGAAAAGAAAGTATTTACTTTAGGGCCTAGTACATAGTACAATATCTCAATAACTATGCCATTGACAAAGTTGAGTTATCAGTTAGGTGGGATCCCAAATCCCATGAACTCTTTCTATTACAATTTTCTATAAGTGTCAACACACATTCTTCCTTCTTTTTCTTTTTTGAGACAGAGTCTCATGTAGCCCAGGCTAGCCCTAAACTAAGTCTGTAGCTGAGGATGCCTTTAACTTCTGATTCCCCTGCACAAATTACAAGCATTCAACACCACATCCAGCAGGCACTTTACCAAGTGAGCTATATCCCAACCCCAAACACTTATTCACAGAAGAATCAATACTTGAAATATGAACATCTTGAGCTGGAGAGATGACTCAGCAGAGCACTGGCTGTTCTACCAGAGGACCTGGGTTTAATTCCCAGCACCACACGGCACTCACAACTCCAGCTCCGGGGGATCCGACACCTCACACAGACAGACATTCAGGCAAAACACTAATGCATATAAGATAAAGCTACATTATTTTCTTAAGAAAGAAAAAAACATTTGGGAAACTGGAACTGGCTGGTTATTAAGGACAAACTAAACATGCTGAACAATGTTACTGCTAATATCTGATAATAGAACCAAGCCCCTCATCGGACATAAGATTTTTTTCTACTATCTATGACTATCTAAAACTATTTTTTTTTTCGGTTTTTCGAGACAGGGTTTCTCTGCGTAGCCCTGGCTGTCCTGGAACTCACTCTGTAGACCAGGCTGGCCTAGAACTCAGAAATCCACCTGCCTCTACCTCCCAAGTGCTGGGATTAAAGGCGTGCGCCACCGCCGCCCAGCAAAACTATTTTAATACCAATATAGGAATTTATATTATCTCAAACTAATTCTAAATTAAAATTTCAATTTCTGTTACTGGTTGTCCTGGGAAAAGAAATCAATCATAGCATTCCATCAGCTTGAAGCTTATCAACTTTGTTTTCAAAAATATACTGCCATTTAATACTTTCATCTAATTATAACTGTACATAAATGAAACATATACATTATATCTTTTCCTGCCTAATCCCACAACCAAACTAGGCATTGCTGTTCTAACAATGTTTAAAAATCTCAACTACTCGACCCTCAACCTAATCTAATGTCAAATGATTGGGGGTGGGGAGAGCAAATGTTAATACCAGGAAAAGAAATAAGTTATCCGCTAGGCTAAACTTATGATGCTGCCTGTAATACAACAGTTCAGGAGGCTAAAGCAATATCTTTTTTTTTCCTTTTCCATAACAACCATTAATAAACTTACTATTTAAAAAAAAAAAACTTCCAGAAACAGATGCACTTTTTTTTTCTTTCTTTTTTTTTTTGTTTTGTTTTGTTTTGTTTTTCGAGACAGGGTTTCTCTGTATAGTCTTGACTGTCCTGGAACTCACTCTGTAGACCAGGCTGGCCACGAACTCAGAATCCACCTGCCTCTGCCTCCCAAGTGCTGGGATTAAAGGCGTGCACCACCACTGCCTGGCTACAGATGTACTTTTGAAGTTGTTGTTAAACCCTGAACGGATGTCCGCACAATCTATTTTGGCAACTACAGCCTATTCAGCAAAGCAACAATCCTCAAAAAGAATGTGACATATATTCCAGGAAAACAAAACTAATGTCAGTTTAGCAAAAAGGTTTGGTTCTAATCAAAAGTGGAGCACGTTTAATGATATGCTGGCCCTTCCAGAAGGCTCAGCAGTAAAACTCCATTGCTGCTCTGAGGACCTAACCACAGCCAGTCAGCTCATAACCACTTGTAACTCCAGTTTCTAAGGGCCTGGCCTCCGAGGGCATTTCACAAACATACTCAAACATATGTTAAGTAAAAAATAAATAAACTTTCATGTTAACCTCAAACCCTCTAGGATGGTATTCACCACGAAAGACCCCACATTTCTTCGATTTAAGCAATCCTGATGCCCTGCTTCACAGATCAAAAATGACCATTAACATACCCAAATATGCTCCATTCAGTTCAGAATCATGTAAGTTTCTGGGTTTATGACTCCATACCCATCCATTTTGCACTAATACAAACCACTAAACATAGCTCTAAAACATTAACGATTCGGAGCTAATTATGTAAGTGATTCATACCTCTTATGTCCAGACACCAAGATCCTAGGATGCTTCTGTCAGACCTAAGGGGAAAGTAAACAATGAACACCTGTCACAAAAGCTTTCCAAATTGGGAAGCCCCAAACAGTTACTGTCAATCGCCAAATACCATTCCTTCCCCCATTCCCAACTCCACACCACACCAGAAAAGATACCAATCGGACCAACAGTCCGTGCTGTGTGAAGGCGAGGCCAGAGTATTAGTGCAAAGGGGTCTGGGTGTTTCTAGTCCTCGAGGCCCTGCCTCTCTCTCTTCTTAATCTGAAGTGTTGACACCTCAAGTCCGTTTTCCTTTCTGGACCTCGGTTATCAGTGTCAGTGTGCTGATAGCCAGGGTAATTCACTCCTCAGCGGCTGGGGCTACTAGGCTTCAGACAGTCAGCACCGGCACGGACCCATCTGGGGCCCTTCCCACATTCCTCCTCCGGACACATCACCTTCTGGACTTTCTAGAGCGGCTGGCCTACCGGGCCGGCCGCACGCAGCGGGTGCACTCCAGACCTCCACACCCACACGTGCTCCCAGACAGAGCCGGGTCTCCGCGCCCTCTCCCAGTCACACACCCCTTCCCAGAGAGGTGATGTCCAATTCGGGTCGAGGAAGCAGCCGTACCGGCCACCCGGGCGACGCCGTTCGCCTCTTCCAGCCTCCCCATCACCTTCGCCTCCCGCCCCACACCCCGCTCGCCCAGTCACTCACCAGCCGCGCCGCCGTGCTGACTTGTCCGCGGCCTCCCGGCCCGGGCAGCCAAAAGGCCGCAGGGGGCCGGGGGGCCGCTTTCGCCACCGCCGCCGCCTCTCCTCAGCCCAGCCCCATCGCCCTCGGCCGGCGCCGGCGGCCGCGGGTCGCTCGGGCTCGAGGGTCCGCCGCCGCGCGTCGCGGCTCGGGCTGTGAGAACAAGAGGCGCCGCGACGGGGCCCGGGCCGCACCGGGCGCAGGGGCGTCTGCGCTCCGCTGTCGGCGCCTGCGGCGGCGGCGGCAGCGGCGCGCAGCCCGGCAGGGCGAGAACAAGGGAGCGCGGCGCGGAAGACCGACAGGGGAGGGGGACGGTCTGCGCTGTGAAGCGGCCTCCCGCCGTCGGCGACGAAGCGGACCCCCTCCCCGCGGCCACGGCGCCCGGTCACGCTGCGGGGAGGGCCGGCGGGCACACGGGGAGCGCCCCGCGAGCTCAGGACTCCCGCGCCGGATGTGAGGTCACGTGATTGCCTCATCCCAGCGCCCAGCGCGGAGGGGCCGTCAGGGGGCGGAGCGACCCTCCGGTCCCGCCCACCCCCTCGCTTTTAGCGGCCCCCAGCCCGCCCAAGCAAGAACCGCTAGCGGGATGCTGCTCAGGACTCATTTTGCTGGAGGCGATTAACTATGTGTTGCTTGTCACGCAAGGAGATCGTAGTCTAGACCCCCATTTTCTAAAAAGACACTGAGGCCCAGTGGTAAGTGCAGACTTGTCTAGGGTGGCAATCAAAAGGACGCCTGTGCAAGCAAAGTGGACAGCGAAATCCTAGCTCCGGAACCAGATTCTTTCTCTCCTTTATCCCCACCTATACCAAAAAGAACACTTTAATTCCAATGGAACTCCTGACCCAGCCCGCGGGCGTGGGACAGAACAGTCAGGTAGGCAAGAGAAAGCTTCCACACCGGAGACAGCTCGGCCTCAGGGAGGAGTTTCTTCCGACAGCACTGGAAGCAAATTAAATACTTCCCTCCACAGGAGATTTATCTTGGGGCACTGCCTCGCCCGGATATTCAAATCGCGGTTTTGGTTTTCACTGCCTTCCGCTCCGAGTTGAGCGCGGGAAGCCGAGCCTGCCACCTGCTGCCTCCAGCTCCGCCATCTTTCCACTCTGAGTCTACCTCACCTGCATCCCAGCCGCCTGGCCATCACTCGTTATTGTCCTCCCGCCTTCCTACAAACATAACTTTTAGTTGCTTGACTGTCTTAGAGGAGGGAACAGCTTGTGCTCAGCTCCTGGTCCCATACTTGGGCACAGTCCACCAGGGGTATGGAGCTTCCAGCCTCTTGATCCACAGCAGAGAATGGCACCTCATTTGGGTCAGTAATGTGCCCCAGATACATGCCCCTAATATACTTCATCGGGAACAATAAGGATGCTGCTCCTGCTTTCCAACCGCGGTGGTGAGGGCCTGGATGGCAGTCATGGAATTCTTTTTACCAGGTGATGTGGGCATCACAGTAAACGAAGATGAGCCACAGCTGTGTATTCCCAGCTCCTGCTCACCATGGTGTTTCAGCCCTCAGTGTGTTTCCTAGCTCACTTGTGCCAGAGTAAGTGGTAGAAGATTGAGGAAGCCTGGGTAGGGCTGAGTAAACCCTGCACACACTCCTTCCAGCTTCCTTAGCAGCTGGTTATTTACCTCTCAGATTTTAAACAAGCACAAGCCTCTCCAGGACCTAAAGTAAAACTGGCAAGGCAACCATCCACTTAGAGTGCCCTCTTCAATTAGCCATCAAGTGTTTCTGACCCTCTTAAACAATGGTCTCCCCCTGGCTGCCTCTACTTCCTCATTCCTCAACTCTCAACTCTTGGCAAGCTGACCACACACATACACACACACACACACACAGAGAGAGAGAGAGAGAGAGAGAGAGAGAGAGGGATCATTTTAGTTCTACTCAGTAACCATTGACTTTCATGTCACCCACCATTGGGCAGAACTGTCCTCAGCGCTACCTCTCAGCATCTCTCTGACACATTTACCACGGTGGGTGTTCTCACCTTCTGAAATTACTCTACTGCTTGCAGAAGATTTTGCTCTCCCAGTTGTCACGACTCTGTAACTAAGACCTCTGCCTTCCTCAGTGGCATCTTTAAGTGGCACCAATTGTGAAGCAGCACCTGAAATGCAGAGCAGCACCCTAAGCCGGCAGCTGTGCCCACTTGGCTTCACTCAACTCAGGGAGGATCATCTCCACCCTTGCTTTGAACTCCCACATCAGCCAGATGTCTCTTACAAAACAGAGAATCAAATATCCAACTGCCTGTCATGCATCTCTATGGAGAACTCACAAGAAACACCAACAATGTGTCCAAAGCCGAACTAGTCCTCTGCCTTTATAACTGCCCCTCCCCAAAATATTAGCACCGCCATCACATAACCATCTGAATTAGGAAATTAGGAATAGATGAGTCACCCGGGATGAGTCACCAAGCCCTCCGATTCACGTCAAATTCCCACCTCCATTCCCTCTGGCATCCATCCTTTCTAAACTATGCTGCTTTGGCAGCCTCCGACAGCCTTCTTCTGATGAGCACATCCTCTACCCTGCCTCCAAAGTCCTTTCTAAAATGCACACCTACTTAAAGCCCTAAGTTCAATGTACTGGGCTTTTTTTGTTTGTTTGTTTGTTTGTTATTACATGTATTTGTGGGGGTGGGAGGCACATCATGGCACAAGAGTGGATGTCAGAGGGCAATCTTTTGGGGTTGGTTCTCTGGTTGCAGGCTGTTGGTCCCAAGGATAGAACTCAGGTGGTCAGGCTTAGCACCTGCCTGCCATTCTGCAGCCCAGCACTTGGGGTTTTAAAACACACTACGAGCCCACACTTGGTGATCCTTCCTTGCCTGTAAAATCAGCACTTGGGAGGTGGAAGCAAAGTGAGTCTAAAACCAGCTTGAACTATATGAGACCCTGTCTCAAGACAACAAACTTGAAAAGCTCAGACTTCAAGATGCAACCAAACTTTTTAGACTAAGGCCACTCATATGTGTGAGTCTTTTGCCTGCATGTATGTTTGTGTACCACATGCCTGCCTGGTACCCTTTGGAGCCAGAAGAGGTTGTCATCGCCAGGAACTGGAGTTACAGACAGGTGCAAGCTGCTATATACGTGATGAGACTTGAACCTGGATCCTCTAGAAGACTGTCAGTTCTCTCCAGTCCATTACTTATTTTTGAGACAATGTCCCTCTATGTCACCTGGCCTGATAGGAACCCACTGTGTACCCCAGAATGGCTTAAAATTTTGTGACAATCCTCCAGTGGGTGCTGAGATTCCAGGCTTGTTCCTCCTCACCAGCTCTCCGTCTTTGAGACACCTTTTCTAACGATTATGTTTAATTATGTAGTCTCGGAATTCTTCCTCTTCGTTACTCCTTTGTCTTCTCTCTCTCTCTCTCTCTCTCTCTCTCTCTCTCTCTCTCTCTCTCTCTCTCTCACACACACACACACACACTGCCTGAAAGCCCAAGATAACACCTCTAATATATGCAATAACATATTCTTCCTGGGTAACCTTGTCTACCATGGCTGTAGCTATCATCTGCATGTACATTAGTAACTCTCAATTGCATCCTCATAGCCCATTCCTTCCCCTCAAGACTCAGGATCATACATACCTCCCTGCCTACCTTTATTGTTGTTTAAGACTTATTTTATGCCGGGCGGTGGTGGCGCATGCCTTTAATCCCAGCACTTGGGAGGCAGAGGCAGGCGGATTTCTGAGTTCGAGAGTTCGGGGCTAGCCTGGTCTACAGAGTGAGTTCCAGGATAGCCAGGGCTACACAGAGAAACCTTGTCTCGAAAAACCAAACCAAAAAAAAAAAAAAAAAGACGTATTTTATTTTCTAAATTATATGCTGGGAGTGAGGTGAGCATGTACATGTAAATACCCATGCACAAAAGGCCAAAGGTACCAGACCTCCTTGATAGGAAGTTATAGGTGCTTGTGAGACATCCAATATGGGTGCTGGGAATTGAATGTGGATTATTGGGAAGAGCAGCTAGTGTTCTTAACCACTGTTATCTCTCCAGCCCTATTATTTTCTTTTTGTTGCTGGTTGGTTGTGGAGTCTTACATGGCTTTGGAAGGCACATTGTGATGGTTTCCCACCCCTGGAGCAGAGCTAGCAGGACGTGGGTCTCCCACAGTGCTACGGCTGCTGTGGGAATGGCACGTGTTTATATAAAACATATATTTTGCTTCATGTTCCTTCTTCAGGAAATGTTCTCCCGGCCAAGCTTAATGACTTCATGATAATTAGAAGCAGCATGAGTCTGGAAGGTGAGAGTGTGTTTAATATTCTTTAGCAAAATAGTAAATGTTAGACTTTGGTGCACAGCTTAGAACAGACAACACCAGACCAAATAGTTCCAAAGGGGAGAGGGTTTATTCAGGACAGAGGGCAAAGGTGGGGAGAGAAACGGGAGGAAGGGTGGAGGGAAAAGAGAGAGAGAGAAGAGAGAATTGGAGGCCCACCATGGCCATGTGGAGAGAGGGGGAAGGGAAGAGGGGAAGGGCGAGGGGACAGAGAGAAGTTAGAGGCAAGAGAGTAAGAGAAAGAGGAGGCAAGGAGCCCCTTTTATAGTGGGCACGCCTACCTGGCTGTTGCCAGGTAACTGTGGGGAGGAGCATACCTGGGTGTTGCCAGATAACTGTGGAAGTGGAGTTTAGACAGAATACTAACAGTAAACACTGTGGCCTTCAGGACAGCCCTTAAGGCTGTGGGAAAGAACTCTGACAACACAAATTTAAGAATACATAATTTCAGCTGGGCAGTGGTGGCTCAGACCTTTAATCCCAGCACTTGGGAGGCAGAGGCAGGCGGATTTCTGAATTCAAGAGTTCGAGGCCAGCCTGGTCTACAGAGTGAGTTCCAGGACAGCCAGGGCTACACAGAGAAACCCTGTCTCGAAAAACCAAACCAAAAAAAAAAAAAAAAATCAAGGGGCTAAGGTCATAAAATGCTGATTCGTGGGATAATTAAAAGGAAATCTCGGGTAACTATTGAATTGATATGCAAATAAAAGACTGGAATTTGGTCTATAAGAGCTGAGCGATTTACACAACACTCTGGAGAGCCATCTCAAGCAGAAGACAGAGCTG